ATATATATATATATATATATATATATATATATATATATATATATATATATATATAACCATATTAAAAACAATCAATCTAGAAGAGTACATAATTTGTCAGAAAATGGAGAGAGGGGCATTTTTGTCTTTGGAACTCGTTTGAGCTCCGTGGAGGTCGGTGGCTTTTTGGTGCAATTAAGGGTCGTGTTATTTTTTTCAGACAAAAAGGATTAAAAAAAAAAATAATAATAATAAAAAACAGTTGCTCTTTTCCATCTCCCCATGAGCCAATTTCCTTTTTAATTTTTTAATTTTATTTAATTAACCTTTAATTGCACTTCTAACTTGGTATTTTTTATTTATATAAATACTGTGTTTGTTAGTATTAGACTTGGACATTCTTCTTAACATTGAATTATAATATTATTTATTCTTCAACAACGTTTTTTTTTTTTTAATAATTCAACTAAATTGGAAGTATTAATTATCATAATTCAAATTAAAAAAAGGTTAATTTGAACTTCAATTATGCTTTTATTTAGTTTTTTCATTAAAACTAATAATAAAAATGATGACATAATGTTGTAATATACTCATTTAATAAATTTAACACGCCAATATTATTAATAATTATAAACAAAAAATAAAGAAGCCTTGTAAACAAATCTAAATTATGTTGTAGCCCATATAGCCCATTTTTTGGGCTGGTTAACAAATGGGCCGAGCCCAATGGCAAAACAAAGCGATTAAATTAAAATGAGAAATTTGTCAGAAGTGGGATTTGAACCCACGCCCTCTCTCGAAGACCAGAACTTGAGTCTGGCGCCTTAGACCACTCGGCCATCCTGACGTTGCTGTCACTTGGGCTTGCATTTATTATATATAATCATTTAATTAAACTTTTCTAGAATTTACGTTGAAGGGTGAAAGTTGGACAAGATAATGCATCCAATCTACAACAAATCATTCTTAAACAAAAATTTATAAGTACAAAGGCCACAGAAAATTAAGAAACAAATCTGTGCATAGATCAATGAATTACGGCCCTAATTACTATCCCGAAGATTAATGGTTCGATCCCTCGCTCTCAAGACTCACTCCGAGCTCCATTTTCATACGTACATTACACACTTTTATCACCCATTCCACCCCTATTGGTAACAGCACTTACCTCTACTTGCATCGGCGATGGTTCGACTTTACCTACGTACATTACACACTTTTATCACCCATTCCACCCCTATTGATAACAGCACTTACCTCAACTTGCATCGGCGATGGTTCGACTTTACCGGGCCACTTTTTCTTGACCAGATCCTGCGCATATGAGAAAACTTCTTCCCTTGGACCTGGACGAGCTGGATCGTTGTCGACTATGTTGTAAACTCTCCTGCAAAAGAAACATAAAGTGGAGGGGAGCCAATCGTCTCCAACCATGCCAAAATAACAACATTCTATTCTCTTCCTCTTTTTCTTAGTGATAATCTAAGAGTGACTCCAGAAGGAAATGCACAAACAATGTCGTTGCACGGAAATACCATTTACCAAGTTGGGGCAAACAAAGCTGTCCACCCCTCCACCCCAAGACAAGTAAATGCTTTTACTTAAGTGAGAAGGGCCTCCTACACGGGGATCGGCCCTACGCACCAGGAACAGAGCCTGCCTTAAATAGCTTACTAATAGATACTAGTAGGAACTATAAACAGCTATCAAAGACTGGATCAACTAGATGTTCTATGCTTTCAGATCGATACTAGTAGGAACTATAAACAGCTATCAAGACCAGATCAACTAAATGTTCTATGCTTTCAGATCAAATCATCCATATACGTAATTACGTGTAAGAAACAATACAATCCAGATATTGGCCATGAGCTTACAGCCGAGCTCATAAAGTATGGAGTGAACTTTTTCAGTATCATAATCCGAACAAGCTTTACAAACTTCGATATCGATTTTGTTTACGTTTAGTACCCCATCTAATGAACTAGAAACATTTTCATTTCAATGCTATGTAATGCAAGGATAGCACATATTCAAATTTCGTTATCTCTCAAAAAACACATATAGGAGCTTACTCTGTATCATTTGCATCAAAACCCTAATAATCAAGCCCCATTTCATTAACTCAAATTCACAATAGCCAACGATCTTTACACAACATGAATCAATACAACAAATAATCCGAATCCGTAAGATATTAAAGGATAATTTCTACAAATTCTCCAATTGAAATTAAACACAAAACACTAAGAAATGCAGAGATTTTACCAACCTGAGTTCTTTAGTTCTTGGCGCGAAGAACTCTCCAACGAAACCCAGCCCTAGAATAAACGAGCGATTCTGGATTTGAACTCTTCGTCGCCGCTAGGCAGTGAAAATCGACGAAATTCTCAGAATTTCCGCCGCCTTCCAGGGAAATTGCTGGATGATTCCAACATAATGCATGCAAGTGAATCTCGCTTGCTTGCTCTTGATCTTTCCAATATGATCTACAAAACTATCCACAAAATTCATCCCATCTTTTAAATTTAAATTTTGTATTCAAAATTTTTCTAGCATAATTAAATTAAAAAATTTAAATTTATTAGGTAACTTAATTTTTTTTTATTTTGATTTATGTATTTATTCATTTTATTTTTGTTAATCAAATTAGATCAATACTAATAATAATTTTTATAATTTAATCCTGACAATAATATTTTCATTAAAAAAATTTTGATATTATTATTTTTATTTACTCCAACCGTCCATAATTGAAAGTAAAAGAAAACCATTAAATAATCATAAATATGATGGAACATAATTGAGGCAGTTGTATGTTACAACTTATATCCACTCTCTTCATTCATATATTTATATATACAAAAAAAAAAAAAATAATAATAATAATTTCCAACAAAATTAGGTTCAAACCAATCACCTAATTTTTTTTTGTTCTATTTAAAAAAAATTAATTAAAAAAATAAGTATAATTCAACTGGTTAAAATATATATTCTTGATAAAAAAATCGTCACGGGTCAAATTTATCACTTAATTTTTTACCGTAAAAAGATTCAAACAATTACCTTTTATATATATATATATATATATAACAAATGGGCTTTCTAGCACACGTGGTCTAGTTGCACCAAAAAACTAACTTTTGAATTAAATAAGAATACAAAGAAAAAAATAATAATAAATGTTTTCATAAATGAAAAAACCCAACCTATTGACTCTTCTCTCTCATTGTTAAGCTTT